AGGACACGGTTATTTTAGTGCTTATATATAGGTTAGAACCAGATTTCAGATGCCTAAATTTGAAAGTTGTGAAATGTGTCAGCAAAAGCATTTTAAAAGCATTATAATAGCAAAAGCCTGATCATAAGGCAATATTCAACTTAAATCAACAGTCTAAAGAGGTACTGTAGTTCTCTTCCCTATATGACGGGCTGTCGTGATTTAACCCCAGCTGAGCCCCACGCAGGCAACTTGCTCACTCCCCCACCAGCAGCGATCGGGAAGAGAATAGGAAGGGTAAAAGTGAGAAAACTCATGGGCTGAGACAAAGACAGCTTAACAGGAAAAGCAAAAGCCGTGCACACAAGCAAAACAAAATAAGGAATTAATTCACTGCTTTCATGGATAGGCAGGCATTCAGCCATCTCCAGGAGAACAGGCCCCCATAATGGTGGCTTGGGAAGACAAACGCCATCACTCCAAACAGCCCCACCTTCCTCCTTCTTCTCCCCACTGAGCATGATGTCATATGGCATTGGATATCCCTTTGGTCAGTTAGGGTAGCTGTCCCAGCTCCCACTTTCTGTGCACACCCAGTCTGCTCACCAGAGTGGCAGTATGGAAAGCAGAAAAGACCTTGGCTCTGTGTTAGCACTGCTCAGCAATTACAAAAACATCTCTGTATTATCAACCCTGTGTTCAGTACAAATCCAAAACACAGCCCCAGAAGAAAAATAACTCTACCCCAGACAAAACCAGCACAAAGGCATATGAAAATCTCTAAAATAAGAACTCATAAAGATCCTGCAGTGAACTGTATTTTGATCTCAGGCTTGTGTTCCACCTCAACCTCCCACTCTGCTGAGTTATGACGACTCTTCTTTTGAGACCAGATGAGACTAAATCTAACATTGGTGTGTGAAAGTAAATATAATACTCCAAACAGATTTATTCTATCTAACTTTAGACTTCTAAAATGTGGTTGTGTATACCTCAGACACTAACTGAGATTCCTGTTAAATAGTGGAGAGGAACAGGAGTTTTAAATCATGTTACTTCTGACCTAGGTTACATGCCTACCTCAATAAAACTACCCTCATATAATCAGGCCTCAGAAATGCTGCTTTACTCCCATTAGTACAGAGGGAGTGGAGACACCTCTTTAATACCCATATGTCCAAGTTGTAGAGACCCAAGATTATCAGGAAACAAGCCCAAACCTCATGGCAAAATGCTGATTAGGAACAGAAATATTCTCTATGAACAGCGCACAGTGACAAATAAAGGCAAAGGAGGACCTTGATATTTAGCCAGGAGTACTGGCAGTACTGGCAGTACTGCTAATATCCCCTTCTGAGACAAGACAGGTAAAACAAAGCCAGAAACGAGCTAAATGCAACAGAGACAACAAGAGCTAGAGCTCATGTGGCTCTTCAGCTTCTCCATGAGGCTTAGTAGTTCCACACACTGTATGGAGGGAAGCACTGTGCTACATGGATATACCAGCATGGGTGTACTGACTCCACTGCACTGTGTTGTTAGGCCCAAGCACTCCTGTCATTAATTGGCATGAGTTATATCAATACACTTGCACTTGTTAAACAAGTGCCTTACCTAAAGTGTAGTCAACAACGCTAAGTGTGACCCCACCACTAACCTTTCAGATATCAGTTGGATATTGCACATTCAGTACTTTAATATTCAATGTTTATTCAGGGGATTTTTAAACCAGATAGATACATTTCACACAAAATGTAAGACACTAGAACAGATTTTTGTTTTCCCTACTTTGAAAGCAACAGAGAAAGGTACAGTTTCTGTACTTACTATGCCAGAAAGAACATGGAAATAGTGATCATAAAGGAATTTCAAGTTTAAATTCTCAGAGAAAGATCTGAACAAAGAGGTCCAACTTTGATATTTCTCCATTTTTGGCCAAGTTTGGACTCCTCTGTCTCTACACACATCCCCAGCAGTGAATACACTGCTGAGTAGACCTAATTAATTCAGAGACACATTCAAAATATCCGTGTGAATTGCCAGTATTGGTACAACCTGGTGAGGATACCCAAAGTGTCTTCTGTTTAACAGAAGGCATGGAATTGATTTCTCTCTCATACCAATGTTAATCATGACTAAGTCAGAATTAGAATTGCTTTGAATGTACACTAACATGCATGAGAGAACACTGTGACTGTGTTATCTCTCACAGGTGGGTTTTTTTTCTTTTTTCTTATTTCTCATGTTCCTCTGAGAGATCTCATTGCCAGTTTCAACAAAGAGCATCATCTCTACGCAGATGATATCCAACTCTACAACTCTGTCAAGTCTGTCTCTGATCCCCTTCTTGCCACCTGTCTTCAACATGTCAATCAACAGATGGCTACACCATCACTAAGGAATGCTTCAAAGGCATTCAAAATGTTTTAAAAGTACTCTTTGTTCCATGTCTGTTGCTCTGCTATCAGTCTTCTTAATTCAGCCTTCAGTTCTCAGCCAAGAATCTTGCTACTGTCCATAACACAGGGTTTTCTTTTCCTCTGCTTTAAAGCTAGTTCCATAGTATTTGCAGATTTATCCCTACTTTGACATCTGCTTCCTCTGTGTTATGTTGAATGCTTTACTCCAGCTTAAAGTTATGGTGTTTTGTCCACTTGAGCTTTCCAAAAACATACTTCCCAACTTCACCAACCAGTGCGTAGGAAACAGAGTACTGCTCTACACCAAAAAGTGGAGACACTCTCAAGAACTTTCACCACTCCACAGGTTTCCTGGAATGTAGAATCTCATTTAAGACTTGTGAAAATATATTTCAGTGTCTACAGCAGTAAGTCAAAGTTCTCTGGTATGCTTACAAGAGTTACACTGCTTTTTGCCAGATGATTCTGTTTCTACAAAAATGTAATTCTGCTATTATCAAAACATAATTCTGTTGGACTGTTCTGGATTTCTCTCACAGCATCTCATCTTTTGTTTCTCCTCAGCCCTTTTATCTCCGTGTCCTCTGTCCAAGCTTCCAGAAATGAGAAAGCAAGCCCATTCCTTCACTTATGCAATCTGTTTTAATCTTGTCTGCATTTTTAAGCCTTCCCTTCAAACCACTGTAACATGCAAATGGTATCATCTTTGGTACAGCCTCGGTTGCACAGTAGTAACATTCCCAGGATTTGTGATAATAACCTGTCAGAAATCTGGAGCGTCTCTCACAGTAAAGGAAGTGGCAGAACGGTAAAATGGATAAACATGAGCAAACCAGCAAAACCACAGGAGCGAAGTTCGGTGTAGTGGAAGTAGGGATCTGATGTAAAAGCATAGATGACATGCTGAAGTACAAAATACCAAAGAAAAGAACTATATGGGGCAAGGCTCAGTTATCTTAGACCCCACTGACAGGTGCACCTAGGAAGCCTCACAGGGTTGCCCCTAAAGGCTGGTAGCCACAAATTTCCAGTGTATATTTTTCAGTGCAAAAAAAAAGGCTGCAAAGAGATTGGCACAGATGGTTCACTTAATAAGGGGATTATCCTTTTATTTGTTACTGCCTCCACTTCCCCTTTCATCCTATCATTTGCAATCCTGTAAAACTAGTGGCAACCACAGCAATTGTGTAGAAAGGGCATTTAGTGTTCTCCTTTTAACAGCATTTAACAACTGGAACCAGCTCACACACTTTCACAGAATCACAGAATGGGTAAGTTTGGAAGGGACCACAGTGGGTCATCTGATTCAGCCTCCCAGCTCAAGCAGGATCATCCCAGAGCACATTGCACAGGATTGCATCCAGACAGTTCTTGAGTATCTCCAGTGCAAGAAATTCCATGATGACTCTGGGCAGTCTATTCCAGTGCTCAGTCACCTGCACAGTAAAATAGTTCTTCATATTCAGGCAGAATCTTCTGTGCATCAGTTTTTTGCTGTTGCTTCTTGTCCTATTGCTTGGCACCACTGAGAAGAGCCTGGCTCTCTTGGCACCCTCCTTTCAGATATTACACATGTTAATGACGTCCCCTCTCATTCGTCTCTTCTCAAGGCTGAACAGGCCCAGCTCCCTCAGCCTTTCCTCGTTAGACAGATGCTCCAGTCCTCTTATCCTCTTTGTCACCCTCCACTGCACCTGCTCCAGGAGCTCCATGTCTCTCTTGTACTGAGAAGCCCCGAACTGGACACAGCATTCTTGATCCAGCCTCACCAGGCCTGAGCAGAGGGGAACACCTCCCATGACCTGCTGGCAGGGCTCTTCCTAATGCACTCCAAGGGCACACCGCTGGCTCATGGGCAGCTTGTTGTCCACCAGCGCCCCACACGGTGTGACTCTTGGGGATGGTCCTCTGCAGGGCTAGGAGTTGGACTGAGTGATCCTTGTGGGTGCCTTCCAACTCAGCATATTCTGTGATTCTTCAGAGCTGCTTTCCAGCAGGTCAGCCCCCGGCCTGTACACGTGCCCGGGGCTGCTCATCCCGAGGTGCAGGACAGAGCATTTGCCGTTGTTCAGTTTCAGACAGCTCTGCTCTGCCCATCTCTCCAACCTCTCGAGGTCCCTCTGGAGGGCTGCACAGCCCTCTGGGGTATCGGCCACTCGTCCCAGATTTGTGTCGTCAGCGAACTCGCTGAGGAGTCATCTGCCCACCCCCCCCATCACTTTGCCAGCTCCTCTCAAAAAATCAGCCAGTGAGGAGCAGCCTGTGAGCTGCCGCAGCTCTGAGACACCGCGACCCTGTCTCAGCTCTAAGCTCGGCGCAAGAGGCAGCGGTGGCAGCGGGTGACACGGGCGGGGCGGCCCTCACGGCCCGTCGCCATGGCGACCGCCGCCGCGTCCCGCGGGGCGGAAGGGCCGCGCTCTCGCGAGACGGCGGGGCCGGGCCGGGCCGGGCCGGAAGGAGGCGCGCGTTTGAAGCGGCGGCGGGAGGGGCGGCGGCGGCTGAAGGGGAGTGTGTCGCTCTTTCGGGGCGCTGCTGCGGCGTGGAGACTCGTCCCCTCTGAGCTCTGCTGGGGGCAGCGCCGGCCCGAGGAACCGAGCGTGGCGGCGGTGGCGGTCGTTCCCCGCTGGCGGGGCGGCGCCGGGCTGGCCCTTCGCCGGAGCCGTTTCCTCCCACGCCGATGGTGCTCGGGGCTGGCCGGGCGTAGCCGCGGGTGCCGCGAAGGTGTTGGTCTGACTAAAAAGGTAGCGAAACGGCGTGACCTTCAGGTTCAGGGACGGAGTAACTGAGCTGCTGAGCGGTGACTGTTTGAAAAGTTTTAAGTGATTCGGTGTTATAGGGCTTCCAGTTCTGCCACGGGATGAGGATGAGCTTCGGTTTTTAGTAGTGTTGTTCGTTTGGTAGATGTTATTCACTTCCAAATTGAAGTGCTTATTTTAAGGCTTCTTCAGAAAGTATTCACATATACAACCATAGAATAGAATCATTTAGGTTGGAAGAGACCTGTAAGGTCATCGAGCCCAACCATACATCTTTGCTGCTTAATGCATATAGATCAAATATTGACAAGGCCTTAAAACCAAACCAAACAAACAAACAAAAACATGAGGAAGTATAAGTTTTATGTAAACTGTACTAGATCTCGATAGTAACTTAGTTCTGTTAGTATTTCATTCCAGTCCTCTGTTTCTCTTTAAAAAAAAAAATAATACATTCTGTTTGTTTCAGCTGAGTAGCTGAACTTAAAATCATACTATCCCAGTTCTTGAGTCACATTGGGTTTTACATTTGTTTTGAAAAACTGTAAAAGTGAATGTCAAGGATCAGTTTTTAAAATATCGAATGACTGATACCAAGCTAACGGGTATTCATCTGGGCATCATGTGGGGGAATTGCAAGATTTTAAGTCAGTAGCACAGACCTCAGAATGAAAATTGAGCCTTCAGTCTTAGTTTTAAACCTCTTGACTGAAAGACTTGCTTCTCAAATCTTACCTGTTCAATCATCAAGGCTTTGCATAAACTCCTTAAACATTTAGTTCTTAGCACATTCAAGTATAAGTCTTTTCAAGTCTTATTTGTCATAATACATGTGGGTTTTAGTACATTATTAGGGGTTATTTGTTAGATATCTCTTGAGAAAGTCCAAGTGCCGTGTCTTTTTGTCCAGTCTCCATCATTTACACAGTATACTTTTAAAAGAAGTTATTGGAGTTGATTCTGACTTATTAATGGCTTACACTTATAAAGTGTTATTGAAGTCACATATTATAATGTAACTCTCAACTACTGGTGGTATCTTGAGAGAATAAATATCAACACTTGGTTAAAACAGAAAGATTTAATAATCATATTTTTCTTAACAGGAACCATGAAGAGTGTGAAACACTAAAAGTCAAGTGGAATGTTTAGATGATTGTCAAATCTTTACTTTGAATTTGAACCAAGAAAACCCAGAAACTGGTGGAAAATGTCACCTGGGAAAATTCTGCAACCTGCAATGAAGATGAAGGTAGATGAACTCTTTTTGTGCTGGTTGAGTCAGCCTGCAACTCAGTCAACAATAAAGGACTGCTTGAGGAGAGTGAAGAATGAGGAGAAAACAGAGATTGGTAGTGCAGATTCAGGAAACAGTAAAAATGAGAGGTTCACTAATAAAAATTCCAATTCCAAGCAGTGCATATTAGGAGATACCAGATTGCCTTTGTCTTTCAGTCCTCCTCAGCTTTCTACTACTCTTCCATTGGCAACTCCAGCTACCTCAAGGAACACTTCTAATGTTAGAGCAACACGTCAATCCTCAAGAACAAAAGTAGTAAGTTTGTTTCTTACTTATTAGACTTATTTGTTTAAATGCAGCTGCAGTTTGTGTTTGTGGTTTTGGCAAATTATGCAAGTAAATAGTTTCCCTGCAGGAGGTATCTGGAGTGGAGTGAAGCAGCAGCACTGAACTTAGAATTTCAATGTTTGTGTGTGGAATTAGTTGTAACGGTTGGTGGCCTAAACTTCCGAAAGATGACCTTGGCTCCTTGCAATCTAATTGTGCATAAATGTAAGTCCTTGTGTTTGTGCTCCTTTTATAACATACTGCCCTGACTGCAAATATTCCTTTGTCTAATGATACCAGGCACTATTGTTAGTACAAGACTCAAATCTGGCTCCACTGAATCTGCATATTAACAAAGTAATTGTTTTGGTACTGCATGGTACACTCAGTGCTTCCTTTCTAATGAGGTCTTCATTTATAACAGACAATACCCTCTGTGCAAGAATGACAACCCTGCCCCCAACCTGAAATATTCTTTTCAAACTTGCAGTTCAGTTCAATCTAGTTTCTAGCCCTTTTCACAAATTGTAAAAAATACCTGGATAGAAAATTATGTGGTGACTGACAAAATTAAGCATTGCTTATGTATGGTTTGCCTTCATAGGATCATAGAATTATAGAATGGTTTGGACTGGAAGGCATCTTCAAGACCATCTAGTTCCAATCCCCCTGCTAAGCAGGGTCACCTTCCACTAGACCAGGTTGCACAAAGCCCCATCCAGCCTGACCTTGAACGCTGCTGGGGATGGGGCATCCACAACTTCTCTGAGCAACCTGTTCCAGTGCCTCGCCACCCTCACAGTAAAGAATTTGGTTTTCTTCCTAATAGGTAATCTAAACCTACTCTTTCAGTTTAAGTCATTTAAATCCTTGTCCTGTCTCTACATGCCCTTGTAAAGAGGTTCATGAGGACTTCAAAGAGTTGATGAGAAGCATGCTGTTTGTGCTATAGGACTATAAATTTATATCTTTTAATAATACTGGGATATTGTAAGAGGTCATCACTCCCAATTACTCTACATACTTTGGTATCTAACTCATTCCATTGACCAAACCTGCTGTGCCAGGGAAGCCTGCTCAGATTGGTATGGGTAGAGAGAACAGAGCTGAGGTTGTTTAAGAGTACTGGTTATTTTTCTGTTTGTTGTCAATGTCCCTTGAGTGTGTATACTTACCTAGCTTGACAACTTTAAGTTCCCGCTTCTTAGCTTCAAAACATCAGGCTTCCAGTCTAGTGTTTGTTTAGATTGGTTTTACAATAATATGGACTTCTGTTTATGTGTAATTACCAGAGAGACAGCAAGGCATGACAATTGATTTACTCATTTCTTTATGTTCACACCATTATGTTCTAGTGAACATTTCACCTGTTCTAGTGAAATGCAGAAAGTCAGCAGATACTCAGTTTATTGTATCAGATAAAAGTAAGCAAAGGAAGAGCTGCTATTAAAACCCACTGTTACTTGATGTACTTGATTGCTAATTTGTATAGAGTAATTTCTCTTCTTGTGTCTTGGTTGATTGCTTGAAGAAGATCCCATAAAGAGGAACTAGAAGAGATTAATGAAGAGTAACATTCTTTACTTAATTTGAATTGTTTATATAGTGCTGAGAGAAAACCTAAAGGGTTAAGTTGTTGATTGCTTGAAGAAGATTGGGCAGGGGGAATTTCCAAACAGTAAGAAATTTATTTATGGCTTTTATTATTCAGCTGAACTGAAGCTTCATCCAGAAGTTTCTTAATTTTTAAGTGTAAATTGCATTTGCAGCTCATACCACCAAGAGTTGCATAATTGCATGTGTATACCATGACTGTGTTTTCTCGTAGAAAGCAAAATGTACCCCATTTCCTTCTGTAAAGTACCCACTGCAGTGTCAAAACTAATGCATCTGGTTTTGTACACTTAATTATGTTTCACAGATGAAGTCACAATGGTTTTACCTACCTCATATGAGTTTAAGTAAGTTTGAGGCTCTCATCTCACTTCTACAAGTGGAAGAAACTGTTTCAGATAGCTTTTTTAAAAAGAAAACTTGTCCTGTAGATCTAGTAACACAGATTTAAATTCTAAATAGCAACCCTACAGGTTTCTGCACTTGTTAGAAAAACTTGTTTTTCAGAATGGGAAGCATTCTCAGAAGAGCAATCTTGAATCTAACTAGGTATTTAATCTTTGACACTTTAAACAGTAGCATATGAGCAAAATAAGTGTGCTGATGGCAACCATTAAACAGTATTAAAAGCACTGTAGCTGTCAGTTACTGTATTCAAGGACATCTTTCTTTTTTCAGATTTTAGTTTGTAGTTGAAGTCTTAGGGTTATATTTTTATCCAAAATTCAGAAGTTGCCATGGGTTTTGCTGAAACACGTCTTGTCGAAGGAGAATTTACCATCTTTCAAGATAGTTGAAGCTCTCCACTATTAGCAAGTCCAAAGTACTTTCTCCAGTAATGAAAGAATTTACAAATCTTTGTTAAAGATGAACAAAAAACCGAAGTGCTTCTAACAGGAATTTTTTCATCTGAACAGGCTACTTAAAACCTATTCAGAGTAAACTGTTGGCTTAATCCACATGCACATTTTGAAATCTAGACAGAACTCTACCATTAAAATCTGTCTTAGAGTGTGTTTTAGTGCAAGTGAAGAACAAGCATTGTTTGTTTAGGGTTTTAGTTTTTCCTTCAGAGGAGGCGTTTTGTGCTACTTTCATGGTGTCATTCACAGTGGGGTTGGTGTCTGACTGCACCCATTGTACCAACACTCTAATTGCAAAGTTCTGGTCGCTTTTTGTACGTGATGTGAAGTGCTTGCTAGCACTTAGTATTCTGCAAGAAGTCCTGTGCTAAATCTTAAAATAACAGAAAATCAGAGACATAGAAAAATTTCAACATTCAAGTCTTGAATATTTTCTGAGTCTATTGTTGAAGAAATTCTAGAGCTATAACTTTCCAGCTTGAAGAATAGCTGTTGTAGATTTCTTCTAACCCTTGTTACTACTGTGCATGGATTTAACAGTGTTTCTGGGGCCCTAGATTATCTTAAATGTATGGAGTATATACAATTGTACACTATTCATCACTTTGTCACAAATGCCAATCCTCAAGGCCAAAAAAGTGCCATAGGCAAGATGTTTAATCCTAACCAGCTGGTGTACAAGGCATCTGGGGAAACAATTCGCAGAATTCCCTATGGACATTTTGTGGGGTGGTGGTGCAGAGAGAATGTGATACAATGTGAAGTACTTGAAAGTTATGTTCCATTTCTCTGCAGGGTCAACCTTTGATATAAAGGTACTTCTTGGAGTGGTTTCTCTATATCCTTTGCTCAATAAGCATATGTTCACACTTGATATCCTGTGAGGATTAAAGCTCATTACCTCGTATTTCCATAACTTGTAAATTTTTTAGTGTTCTAATATATTGCTGCATAGCTTTTTTTCATCAATAAGATTCTTGCCAAATTTTTGTTAACAGTTACTCAATTTAAATGATGTGGTACCGCTAGGATCCATTTTAGTTTAAAGGGAGACTAGAATTAAACCTTTTAACATTGCCCAAAGTTTGAGTATAACAACATTTGAGAGTTGCTTTTTGAAACAAATAGTTCTGAGGGCTTGAGTTAAAGTGTAGCTAGGCTTGTACCTGCATCTGTCAGACTAGTGGTGGGCTATGTTCATCTTCTGCAGGTGTGCTGGCAGTGTCTTTGGCGACTACCTTCCATTAGCATGGGGAGAAACAATGTTCATAAAATGTCAGAAAAGTAAGAGGAATGACAGTGTTTGAATCCTGTGCCCTACTCAAGTAGCTGCTAAGCTTTGATGTTGGCCTTCACATGTCCAGCCTCTGGTCTTATGTGATGTCTGCATCTGAATTGCTGCCTTGTATACCTTAATGCTTGAAGCAATACTAACTGCTGAGCCTGGGTTATGTGAGCTGTATTAGCACTGCACTGCACACCAGGTTATGCTGTGCAGGGCTGAGTGTGGCTCAACACATATGCTCTCTAACGCTGTATTATGCAAAGATAGTGTTAGTAGTGCCATGTCCCATCACTAAGTGAGGGAGGGTGGTGGACTTGGCTTTCAACTCGAGCCCGTGACTTAAAGGGAGACTGTAAATAACCTGATATCAAACCGATGTACTTTTACAGTGATAACAGGGTACTATGACAGATGTCAGCACTAGTGTGTTCACAATAAAGCTCCTTCTATGGTGCCAATAAAGCAAGGGCAGCCATAAGTTCATAATAAAGTCTGGAAGAGTGCAGCTATAGGTGCAGCTATAAAATCATTATTAGTTTCAAGTGTAGTGAAATAATAGTAGTCAGCACAAGCAGTGCTGGTAGTATGTTGTGTTCATCTTCTTAAGCTTTACTGTACTGAGTAGCTTGGAATAGAAGAACCATTATCCTGATTAGAGAACTATCTGTTCTTTTAGTTATAATTGAGAAACTTATGTTATTCACTGTTGTAGCTTTTTGATAGTGCTCCTTGTTCTAGCAGCATCTTGTACCCTGGGATATAAATGTTATTCTTCTTAGCACTTGTATTAATTCTGTTTACACATTGTGCTTTGTTAGAAGAAATAGTGAACTGTTCAAGTGGCAGTTGTACTTAAAAATGTCTGTCCTCCTGTAAACTCATATTTCTTACATGCTGCATCCAGTCTTAAGAGTTTTTGGCATGTCTAGTGCTGAAAAATGGAATTCAGAATTATGTGTTGCTTTCCGGAAGTTTGAAGTTCACCTGAATCCTGACATGGGACAAATTCAAATATTTGGATGAAATTTATTAATCATAATCACTCCTTTTGAGTAACTAACTCTTATATAGCTCTGAACTTTTTTGTTTGCTTTTAAGATCAGTACCTACTTCCAGTTGCTTCTCTGTCCAGTCTTTCAAAACATGTAAGTTTAATTATAGCTTTACATCAGCCATTTAAACATTTCATTCTTTTAACAGGTGTTCAATCTGGGAGGAAATTAGAT